ATACAGCAGCCCAAAGGAAAACAGATTATTATCTTACATTCCAGTGCCTGGACCCAGCTGCCTTGAGTTAATGTCTATCCTTGAAGATAGCAAAAGCACCCCTGGCAGGAACCCATTTGCTGATTCCATAAACCTTTTGGCTGTATCACTGATGTCTTCTCCCATTACCCTTCTTTGAATGACGCCAAGCATACTGGCCAGTCTCCTTCAAGCAGACGCTTTCCATTACTTGCCCCAGGATTTTCTAGCCATCAGGTTACGGTATGATTTTTATATCTTAGAACATTCAGCTGCTTTATGCCAACCTTAAACAAATGCAAATGCAAGGTTTGAAAAATTCTTTTCCTAAGGAGCTTGAAGAATTAAAAAAGAGACCTTTCCTTAATTTCATAGTTCAACAAACAGCTTAAGTAGCTGGATCTTCATGTGCATGCATGTACTGAGGCTAGAAGGAATGTTAGCAAACACTGACCTGAAATTAGACTCTCACAGAACCACAGACTGAAGAACTGAAAGGAAACATTTAGTGGATAGCAGAGAGATCTAAGTGTCTTGCCCAGGGGCTAATCTGCTGGTTGACTCTCAGATTTAGCAAGTCCCACACAGAACTTTTGCTTTTTCCTCCATGATGTTCCATCCTTAGGCCTATTCCATCTCAGGTAATGGCACTACCCAGTTGCTCAAGCCAAAAAAATCTAGGCTTGATCCCAGGACCCTGAGATCATGACCTGAGCCAAAATCAGGAGTCTGATGCTCAACTGACTGAGCCACCCAGGCACCCTTCTTAGGGAGTTATTCCTAATTATTTTCTTTCCTTTCATTCTCCACATTCTCTTCACAGCTTCTGTCCATTACACTTTGAAAATATATCCTGAATTTGTCTGCTCTTTTCTCTCTGCACTGCCACCACTCCAGGCCACTTCTGCCTTGGACTCCGGTGCAATTTCCTTCTTCTTTTTAAAGATTTATTTCTTCTGAGAGAGAGCGAGCAAGTGAGCATGTGCAGTGGGAGGGACAGAGGGAGAGTCTCAGACTGTGCTGAGCGCAGAGCCCAATGTGGGGCTCGATCTCACGACCCTGAGATCACGACCTGAGCCAAAACCAAGAGTCAGACACTTAACCGACTGTGCCACCAGGCGCCCCCTGTGCCAATCTTCTAACTAGCCTGATTCTGCTCTTGCCTCCCCAGGTCGGGACACGGCAGCCAGAGTGATGCCTGAGCAATATGAATCAGATTTTGCTGCATACTTGTGGAGAGCTCTCTTCACACACCACTTACAATACAATTTAAACTCTTTACCACACCTCACAAGGCTCTACACGATCTCGATCTCGTATTGCCTACCTGGCAACTTCAAAGCCACTCCGCCTCTCTTGTATTCTGTTCCAGCCTTATGGGTTTTTCTCTTCCTTGAAATCCCACAGCTCATCCCTGCCTCAGGATTTTGGCTGTTCTATTCCCTAAGTCCTCACAGGCTTGGCTCCTTGGAATCAGCCTGGTCGTCTTTAAACATTACTTTTTCAGAGAAGCCTCTCCTCTATTCTTAGTTATTTTGTAGCGTTTCATCTTGTTTTGGCAACTAGCTGAGGAGAGTTTGTTAGGCTGTTTATAGTCTCTTTTCCCCTAGCAGGATATAAACTCCATGGGGACAGGGATCTAGAGTATCTCCTGACAAAAGAAAGACATTCAGCAAATATTGTTGGATGAGTAGGTCTAATTCTGGTTCTCACACCCACCATACTACACCATTGCTCTGAACTCAGGTCAGTCATATTAAATAGCTCTAAGACAGTCTGGCTACAGAGGAATGTGGAGGCAGAACTATCTGGGTATAAATCCATTCTTTGTCTCTTCCCAGATGCAAATTGCTTATCATCTTTGAGTCTTAACTGGCTTACCTGTAAAGTGGGTACAGTAGTCCTGCTCTATAATGTTGTGGTTAGAATTAAATGACACAATTTATATAAAAAGCAGAGGAGAGTGCTTGGCCTATGGTATGTCTAATTGTTCTCATTTCCCTTGAATCTTTAAATGATAATAGTTAACATTTACGTGTATTCTGTGATAGGTATAAATGTTTTACACGGATTAGCTAATTTAATCCATATAAAACTCTACACAATTGAAACTATAAATATCCCTGTGTAACAGGTAAGAAAACTGACTAGATTAAGCAACTTGCCTAAGGTCACACAGTAGAAAACTGCAGAGCCCAGCAAACTGGAACTCAGTGATTCCATCCAATTTCAGAGGCAGTGAAACGTCATGGACTGTCTTTATTTTGACCCCTTGGTAAGAAACATATTTTACATTCTAACCTAGCACATGTGTATGAACTAAAGTGGGGAAAAAAGTTTTGTAAAATAATACTTACCCTTACTATATGTATTGACAGTTTCTCTTCATTTTAATTAATTAATTTTTAAGTGGGCTCCACACCCAGTGCAGCTTGGAGCCCAATGCAGGGCTTGAACTCATAACCCTGAGATTGAGACCTGACCTGGTATCAAGAGTCGGACGCTTAACCGACTGCACCACCCAGGCGCCCCTCTGTTCATTTTATTTTTAAAAAGGTTTTTGACCGACTTGATTTAATGGCCTATTAATAAGTCAAAAGCACACTTTGAAAACCATTCATCTAAGTTACAATTAATCCAACTACTCTTACTTTCCAGCTATCTCAACCTCTACTAGAAAAACTCTGATGGTTATCAGCTAGACTTTTATATTTATGTTTCAGATAAGGGTTCTATTAGTTAAGATGCAGATCCCTCAAGGCTCAGATCTACTCCCCATTGCCAACCCTCCTGTAATTACGGAAAAATCATTTGTCAGGTGAGATTCAAGCCATTCTTTCACTCTCCAAAAATTATTAACCTGTATCGAAGCTCTTAATACAAGGTGCCCCGTGTTAGAACTTTTTATGCAGTTTCCCCCTGTAGACACATTTCCCATGAGAACTACACTGAAATGGTTTCTGGATGAGGGGATGAATGGACATTGACATTTTACCTGCTCTCTCAGTCCAGAGTTGGCACATGAGCTAGTGTTTATTTCTATAGATATTCTGAGTGCAGGGTATGTGTCAAAAGGCAAATAAATGAAACAAAGAAAAAGCCCTTCACTGGGAACTCTCAGTTGCAAGGTAGGAAATTCTTTTGGAAGGCAGGAAGTAGTTATGAGCTTTTCTGCCAAGCAATGGTTCAATTCCCCCACCCTCAGGGAAAGTTTATCCTGGTGTTGTTTTAATCCAGCAGATGCTGAGCAGTTAGAGAAAGGGAACAACAACTGGGGGAAATAATACCACCTGTTTATGTTGACTTTTACCAAACAGGACTGGCCACCAGCTGTTGAGGGGTTTGGGAGAAACTAAGGTGGCAACAGGAAAGTTGAAACAGGAAACTCAGACTGAAGCTAGTTCTCGGCTTTTTGCCTGTTTGGCGGCGGGGTTGGGGGTGGGGTCCCAAGGAAGTATAGGACCAATTCTCAGATGGCCAAGAGGCAAAGGCAATATAATGCACCCTCCTCACTGATATAGCAGGGCTCGCTTTGGTGCATGCACGGAGTAACACGTAACTGTTAGTTGCTTACTCTGTATTCATTTCCCCTTCTTCAGTGACTGTAACTCGTATATCATTGGGGGAAGTAACGTCCAAGGAAAGGTGACATTTCTTGGCCTCCTTTATAGCGAGCTGCTGTCACGTGACTGAGTTCTGGAAATGTTGAGTGTGATTTCCAGGAAGACTCTTTAAAGGGTGCTGACTCGGCTGGTTTGCCCATTTTGTCCTCGCCCTCTTTTCTTCTTCATGCTGCCCGGAATTTCAAAGGACGGCTGATGGTCAAGTGGCTATTTTGGACCATGAGGTGACCCTAAGAGAGATGCACTTCTTGTTCAAGTTTTTGCTGATTTGGGTTTCTGTTAGGCGTACAGTCAAGGCCCATCCTAACTAAGTTGGCTCAATAAATAATTCTCGGCACTCATGTAACAAAATCTTTGTATCCTCCAAAGCGTGGTCAGTTCTGTTGCCTAATTCTAGCTTTCCAACGACAGTGTGAGAGGGCTGTGGGGCATGTGTTCTGTCAGTTCTGTGAGAGGAGGAAACGAGCTGGAGCAGAGCAAGTCTTGCCCAACGCAACACCACTGGCCACTTGGAGAGCAGCAGGCTTTGAAAGCCAGGTTCTCTCTCACCCCTAGGATTTTAAAAGCATGGTGACAGATTTCCTTTAAAAATGATTTTGATTGGGGGCGGTTGGGTGGCTCAGTCGTTAAGCATGATCTCAGGGTCCTGGGATTGAGCCCCGCATTGGGCACCCTGCTCCTCCCTCTCCCACTCCCCCTGCTTGTGTTCCCTCTCTCGCTGTGTCTCCCTCTGTCAAATAAATAAATAAAATATTAAAAAAATGATTTTGATTGGTTAAGTAGTGGTTATTTTTAAAAGCAAGCATCTAAGGACAACTCATCTCTTCTGTCAAAAGGAAGAACGTCAGACTTCTTCCACGTTGCCTCCAGAATGCCACCGCTACATTAACATGAATTATGGCTCAGTGCACTGTTACGCCACACATTAAAAGAGTTGAACTCTCAAACAGGCTAAGACACATTTTGAATAAGCAATTAGTAAAATGAATGTGTTAATGTTTTAAAAGCATAACAGTCTTGATGATTAATGTGGAGTTGACAAAGTCTTTAAGATGAAAAGGCAGAGGTAGGACTTTTTTTCATTACAATGCAGGGAAAATTGAATGAGGTGGATTCAACATAGAAAAGTTTTAATGAGGCAAGTGTCAAGCAAGCATATCAACTTCTTCAAAAACAAAGAAAATCTAAAAGTTTAATTACAAAAACACTTGTACAGAAAACTTGGCATTTCAACAGTTCCAAACACATGTACACAATTTTTCCCCTAAAATTTAATGTTGTCAGAAATAAAACACCTTGTCTTACTTTCCTCAGCTGCTCCTTGTGTTTTAATGAAAGAGAAAAAGAGATCTGTAACACTGAATAGGCAACAAGTTATTTCTTGAGAAGAACCTGTAAGTGTGCAGGAGTATCTACAAGTTTACTGAGAAACATGAATTAGGTACCACGTTAGCCTGTAACCTCACTTACCACCTCCTAGTTGAGCAACACAGACCTGCTTTACAGAATCTGACAGTTTCGTGGCAGCGGAATCCCAGCCACCGGAGTCAGGCGTGTAGTTCCTGGGAGAGGCAGTATTTCAAAAGCAGGCTGCATATTTTGTGAAAATGGTTTCAGAGTGTAGGCTCTTGCAAGATCTGGGGCATTCCTGAATACGCAAATGTTTCAAGTCAATGTCAGATGTCCTAGCCAGAGTCTGGAGAATGATAGTCTTCGGACCAAGTTACAGTCTTTCCTGCTCAACAGTGCTGCTAACAAAGGGGCACAAAACTGACACAAAAGAGAAACAGAAATATCAGGAGGAAAGAAAAAGGAGACCAAGTGTCTGGCAGAAGGTAGATACAAACTTCCAGAACTGGCTTGGCTGTCCTTCTGCCACACACAGGGTGTTCTAGCTTGGACTGAGCAGGCAAGGAGGCTGAGGGAAGTGACAGGAACAGCAGGTGAGGGCAGGAAAACAGGAAAATACAGAACAAAGCAGGCTAGGCTTATGGTGACAGATAATGCTGGGCTCTTATTCTAAGAAGTTGCCAAGCAGTGGTGTGTGGGCTTCAGTGCATGGAAATTCGACGTGTGCTCACATAACATTTTTTAAAAAAGGTTGTTTTTGTTGTTATTTTATTTCCTTTGGGCTAATAAAGAAATCAGGTAAGGAGATGCTGAGAAGACAGGATGGTGCAACAACACGACAGGGGGTTTCTGGCTTGTACCCTGGCTCATGAGCAGATTGTGAGGGGGACACACTTCCACCTGCTTCAGTGGCGTGGTGCCTAGACAATGGGCTCAGCATGCCCCACTTTGGTTCCAAAGATCTCAGCTGCAACTGTCAGCCTTGTGCTCTAGAGCATCAAAACAAAACACAACAAAACCCTGAGGTGAGACTCAGAAACCTCTCTTCCCCTTTGGTGTTAAAAGAAAAAAAAAATCACTTCCTAAGAGGGGAAAAGGAAGGGAAGCCTGTCCTTTTGCCGTTGATTTGCAGTAGTGGCTGCAGAGAGAAGACGAATTCCTCTGTACCCTTGCTTGTCAGCTCAAGAGACGCTTTTGAACATTCCACCTGTCCCTCTCCTTGCATCAGTATACCTAAAGCAGACAGGGATTCCCTCAGTTCTCACTCATGATAAACTTTGGGGTTTGTTTTTTTTTTCAATGCCAAATGAGAAACTACTTTTCCCATTCTCTCCTGTTTGCCAATGACCTTTTCCTTAGCAAAAATGCTCCACAAGACATCGCCAACAGATGGGAACAGAGAGCCTTGCTGGGGCTGGGACACGGTGTCTGTGCAGGAGCAATGCTTAGGAAACAGCAGGCAGTGGCAAGGAGGAAGGAAAGAGCATTCTCCTTCAGGGCAGCAATCACAAAGCCTTGGTGAGGGCCGGCACCCACTGAGCACCGTGTGGGGTCGGAAACACAGCCTCGCTCCACAGGGCACTGTCGACAAGAAGCTCCTTTCTTTGGAGTCACAGCAGGACAATGATGGGAGAAGCCTGTCCAATGAGAGAGGCTCTCCTTCAGAGCCCTGCTGAGCAACAGACCCCAGAGGTCAGAAAATGGAGATGTCAAACTTGGAGGGGGTGAAGGAAATAAAAAAATCACCCCCAAAGGTATTAAAAAAAAAGTGACAGCTAGGTAAGAAAGCCGGAGCCACTGGGAAAGGGTCCCGTGTGAAGTGGAGCAATGAGAAGGCTTCCCTTCTGCTGCAGGAGTGGTCAGCGTCAGGGCGGCCGGTGGGCAGAATCTATGCAGACCCACTTTATCAGAAAGAAATGCAGATGACAGGAAACCGAAGACCCGGGAGAGTGGGTGTACGCTTTCAAAGCTGCACAAGGACGGTTCCACAGAAGTGCATATCCACGTTCCTCTAGCTGCTCTCTCATATGCTTCCTGGGGTGAAGGCATTGAACTCCTAACTGACAGTGCTTTCCCAAGCAGAGCAATTGGTACCCCCTCTCTGCCTCCACTCAGTTCAAATTTCCATGGATGGCTTCTCATTCCTCACAAGTAAAACCACTTACAGAACATCATGGAGCTCTAAGACCTGTAGGATTGGGAGGGAGAAAAACAATGAAGATACCAAAAAGGTAAGCACTGATCAGAAATGTTAGGGCTCTGGGTTAAAAAAAAAATGCTCTGTTCTATTTCTGGTAGGGTTGAGGTGAGGAGCAGGGTGCCTGTAAACAAAAGAGCTCATAAAGCTGCAAGCAGACAAGCTCACTGAGATGTTTTAGATAACATTTCAATGAAACATGGCCCAGCTCCAGTTCAGCAACAATGGGGAGGTAGGAAAATCGTCAGCCCAACATAGAAAAGCAACTATCAGGGCCAAATCTGATGATAGAAAATTAGACTCCATTTTAGTCCAAAGAATGTATAACCAATCAAAACCAATTTTCTTCAAGCATAAATCTAAAAATCTTGGCATGTATATAGAAATGTATTGTGTGCACAGGATCAATATATTTTCTTACATTGCTAAAAAAGTAATCGCATAAGAAAGGGTTTTTTTTTTTTTTTTTCCAATTCCTCAAAGAGCCGAATATTTTTCATTTGGTTAAACTGAAATCAAGTAACATGGATTTTGACAGTTTATGTGACATGGTCACCTCTCAATGTGAAATTGCCCCCACGGTTTCCTCCCAGCCCTACTTTCTTCCTAAGCACCAGTTAGTCACAGAGAAAGGTGGCAGCTGGGGCAAGTCTTTCATTGTACGTCCATAAAAATTATTTTTTAATGGGCTGACCAAAATTTTATAACATTATAATTATTGGATTGTAAGTTCTTCTGTTTGCTTCCTATTTATCTTAATGCTCACATTCCAAGGTTTTTTTAGTGCTTTCCCCTTACACCTGCCCCCACTCCTTATAGCAGTGTTTTAGAAACCCCACTGAACCAGAATTTAGGTATACGCATTCTAGTCCTGGATTCTGCACTCATCTATTTAGATATTTTTCAGGCAAGAAATTTCACCTCTCTGGGACCCAGTTTCTTCGTATGTAAAATGTTGGGATTTCTAAAGGTCCCTTCCAGCTCTAATATGCTCCTAAAACCGTAGGACACTGGCTTCCCTTCACTCACTGGCTCCTGACAGTGGATGAAACCTTTGCCAAGCTCACGTCAGAGTAATTAATTGCACCACGAATGCTGGGGACATCAGGCCTATCTGTCTGTACATATTTGTATAATGAGGGCAAGCTAGTATTCATCACAGTCTTAATAATTGTTTCATTTGACAGTTTCGAGGGGTGTGGGGAACTATCTACTCTTAGTTATGTTTGCATGACTAGATTGTAAGAATCTGTAGTAATAAACACGGTTCACATTTCAGGTATTGCTTTTATCAAGAGCAAAATATAGGTTCTTAACATTCTAGGCTTTCAACGACACCTCTGAAAGCCGATACTACAGTTTATATCCTGAGATAGGCAAAGCTTTAGGAGAGTCTTACTGGCAAAATGTTCAAAATAGAAAACCACTTTTGACTCAAAACTTGCAATAACTGCCCTATACCTACGTGAGGAGACACCATGTTATCAATTACTGTGTTCTTTCCCAATCTTCCACAGTTTCTCCGGGCTCTCTCTTTTCAAGCCTACAAGAGTGCTAATTGAAAACACCGTGTGAAAATGAAAAGGATGATGAGCTTCTGAAAATCCCAGGCCTAGATTTACAAGCTGTTCCCTTCATAAACAGCAGCAGTAATGCCACTTCTTTATCCTGTAGGGAGTCCAGCCATCTCTTAGAAGTGCGGTCTGTTCCATCTGGCTACCCGCTAGAAGGATGGTAATCCTTCCCCCATCAGAACACGGCTGAGGCTAAAGTATAATCAATTGTCTTGCAGGGTTACCGTCCAATGGCATGGCCGAGGAGAGACTACTGCTTTTGTCTCTGCTAGCAGATGTTGCCTCATTAGACAAAGAACCATGGGTTTTATTTATTCTTATACATTTTGCTCAAGGTCCAAACCATGCTAGAATATGAGTATGTATATGAGTGCGCTCATGTACCTGCGGGACAAATAAATAAAGATTCAAACCCACGATTGGTCATTGTAAGGAGCATATCCTGCTGTCCACTTTTGTTTTTCTACCCATATATGGCCACCTCACCATATGGTCCTAGGATTTCCATAGTTTATATGTCTGTAGGCATTGACCTGCAGACCAAAGGGATGTCAGTTCTGTGGGATGGCATACTACAGGGCACCCTAGCTCTAGGAATTTAAGTGAACACATACGAGTTCTATTTAAGAAATGACACCTGATGACTCACCATTAGCAGCCAAAAAGTTTATATGGGCAGAGACTTTCTAGAAATGTACTTTTTTTCTTTTCTAAGAGGACATAACACATACTACTAGTCATTTGTTGAATATATTTTAGAAGACTTATTTTCTCTCTCCTCTCTTTTTTGCTGTTTATTTTTTAAATCGATTTAAAGTCTTTTTAGTTTTTATTTTATAAGTAATCTCTGGACCCAACGTGGGGCTGGAACTCATGACCCCAAGATCAAGAGTTGTGCGCTCTTCTGACTGAGCCAGCCAGGTGACCCCATTCCCCCTTTTTTTAAAGTCTAAATCTCTTTAAACAGGGCAATAGCTGTTTCACTGTAAGGATACTCCACAGTGACACTGAACATACAATAGTTACTCTGATATTGAGTGCTGAATGAAAAGCTTCTTACTTACATAGGTTTATACACATGTGATGTCTCAGTGACTGCTGTTGTAAGTTATCATCAGTATTTTCCAGGGAAAAGGAAGCTTAACAATTAAGTGATATTTATTTTGTTCTAAGTGCTGTTTTGGGGGTGATTTCCTCTAAGCTTCTCATTCACTCTTCAAAACCCGTTGGGAAACTAACACCGGAGAATACAGCTAATAGCTAACGAAACTGGAATGGAGGTTCAACCACAAAAAAATCATGCTCTTTCCATTAAACCATGCTGAGGCATGCATGAGAAAGAACTCTTTTCTAACATTATTTACTACATTTAGTAACCATGTAACAGTAATTTTAATCAAGTCTCCAACTCATTTATTTGATGTAATGCCAGGGTTTTGGTAGCATTGAGAAAGTCTACTGCCTTCTTATTTTTGATGATGTGTTGGCACATACCTATCGCATCAGTGAGCACTCACCATTCCCTAACGATCAAGCCTGTTCACAACTTCTCGAACTGTAGCTATGAAGTTTTCATTGTCTTGGGGATTAGCTAAAATAATACTGTGCAGTCTGTTCATATATGAGTCAATCGTGTCCACTGTAGGTGTTTCTCCACTTCCTGAAGTGAGATAAGGAGAGAAAGTAAGAAAATCCTCCCTATTCAGTTCAAGCATAGGGCACAAGCATGCCACACTTGGTCTGCTCCACAGATAAGATTTTCATCTCAGTGGAGAGACTCTGAGACCTCAAAGCAATGAAATTAATCCATATATCCTGAATAAAAAGATGGGCTATGTAGTTGTTCTACAGTATATATGAGTAGCTGCATATAACAAAAAGTTACAGACTCTCCCTGCTTTCTGCTGTGATTATCCTTCACAGGAAAGAGGATATAAAAAATACTAGTGTTTGTTTTCCTCTTCCTTCCCATTAAATAACAAAATTACAAAGCGAGCAAACATATATAAGAAAAATGCTCTACTCAGGATTTATTACTCAGTTTCCATTATTCTGAATATCAAATTAAACTTAATAGAAAGGAAAGTAAATTACATTAAAATATAATTGGAGATAATTTTAAATGACCAGAGAGCCCGAAATTTTGGATGTTGGCAGCCAATACTGAGATACTATTACAAGACCCACAGAAACCTCTGAGGGAAGAAAACCCTTATTTTATTGATTTTCCTCTTGGTGGGGAGCCTTCAGCCTCACCCCACTAATACCAACACAAGACAGCACCCGCTCCCTTCCCCACCACCGAAATGCTCAGGTAAGGGTGACATTACCAGGCAAGGGCATGCTGGCAAAGCTGCTGGTCAACACCTGCCGCAGGGTCTCCAGGTGCTGCTGTAAGACGGTGTTGCGGCTCCGCTCCTGGATCACATCCACCTCCAGCTTCTCCACTGCTGTGCGCATGCTCTCCACGTGCTTTTGCAGGGCTGCATTCCTCTCCTCAAACTCCATGTTGGATTTCCGAAGCTGGCGGAGCTCGGCCTCCCGAGCTGAGGACACACCCCACCGCACAGAACACGTAGCACCAGGAGTCTCTCAGGATTCCCAGAGACTCTTACAAGGAAGTTCTGCTTAGCTGTCTCTAATTAGCTACCCCACCTCATCTCCCTATTCTCATTATAGCCTTCCAGATAGCAATTTCAGCAATAAAATGCCTGGTTCCCCAGAGCTATTTTAATTCTTAAAGCTGGTCATATTCCTACTTAAGATTGCAAGGAACAGTTGTAATTCTCGGCATTTCTGTTTATTTTGTTTTTTAAAACTGTGCAATGAGAAGGCTGAGGGGCTTCACAGGGGGATCCTGGGAGACTGTGCAAGCACAGCTGTGGGTCTCCATCTTTACTGCAATGGGGTCAGCTTTGCTTTTACTTATTTTATATTCTGGATGCCTGTGTAAGCTTTTGTTTATACAAAGGGTTTCAGGCTAAGAGTCTGAAAGCAACTGAATTAGTGATGCACATTTATTTCCCTTGATCCAGAGACTAAAGTAGCTTTGACAAAACTGGCCTAGCTTTCCTTCACTAGTTTTTGAGTAGCTACCCTCACTACAGAGTGAAATGGAAACAGTTTTCTCCTTCCAGACCAGTTCTAAGGTCAGGAATATCAATACTGCTGCTTTTGAGCAATGAATCCCTCCTGAGAATGAAACCCCCTGTCACAAACCTGAGGAACACAAAATGATACTTTGGTAATTACCTTTGCTGTGGTTCAAGAATTCCTCTGTAAATATAGGAATGTCAAAAACAGACCGTTCCTTTACCTCTGTTTCTTTCTGTGAATTAAGAGTAACAAGACTGTTAATTCTTTTTTCCTTTTTAAAGATTTTATTTATTTATTTAAGAGAAGGAGGGAGAGGCAGCACAGAGGGAGAGGGAGAAGCAGAGACCCCGCGGAGCAGGGAGCCCGATGCGGGAACTCGATCCCAGGACCCTGAGATCATGACCTGACTGGAAGGTAGACGCTTAACTGACTGAGCCACCCAGGCGCCCGGTTAATTCTCCCCCCCCCCGTTTTTATTGAAGTAGAGTTGACACACAATGTTACATCGGTATCAGGTATACAGTGTAGTGATTCCACAAGTCTATACATTATGCTGTGCTCACCAAAGGGTAGCTATCACCTGTCATCATACAATGCCATTACAACACCACAAACTATATTCCCTAGGTTGTACCTTTTATCCCTGTGACCTAGTCATTCCATAGCTGGAAGATTGTGCCTCTCACTCCCCTTCACCACTTTGCCTATCCCTCTGCCCCCATCCCTCTTGTAACCATCAGTTTATTCTCTGTATTTAGGGGTCTGTTTCTGCTTTTTGTCTTTTCTTTTTTTTTTTAAGACTCCATGTATAAGTGAGATCATATGGTATTTGTCTTTCTCTGACTTATTTTACTTAGCATAATACCCTCTAGATCCATGTGTTGTCACATATAGCAAAATTTCATTATTTTTTATGGCTAAGTAATATTCCACTGTATGTATGTATATATAGGTGTGTGTGTGTGTGTGTGTGTGTGTATATCTTCTTTATCCCTTCATCTATTGACGAACAGTTGGGTTGCTTCCATATTTTAGCTATTGTAAATAATGCTGCAATAAACATAGGGGCGCATATATCTTTTCAAATTAGTGTTTTCACAAAACTGTGAATTTTTGTTTTTAAGTAATCTCTAAGCCCAATGTGGGGCTCAAACTCATGACCCTAAGATCAAGAGTCTCATGCTTCATTGACTGAGCTAGGCAGGTGCTCTACAAAACAGTTAAATTTTTTTTTTTATATTTATTTACTTATTTGACAGAGAGAGAGAGAGAGCCCGCACAAGCAGGGGAAGCAGCAGAGGGAGAGGGAGAAGCAGGCTCCCTGTGAGCAGGAGAGCTTAATCCCAGGACCCTGGGATCATGACCTGAGCCAAAGGCAGACGCTTAATCGATTGAGCCACCCAGGTGCTCCCAAAACAGTTAATTCTTAAACAGAAGCTAAATTAAATAGGTAAGGACTGAAGGCCATGTCTTCCTTACAGAAACAGTAGGGTGAGCAGGAATCAGTTCAGGTGGAGGTGTGAGGGAAATGTATTCATCTTTTCATTGGAATCAGCCTTTCACAGAGCTCAAGCAGGTTAAGTATTCAGTTTTCTCAGGTGTACAATTGCTGTGCAATGAGAAACCTTAAAACAAACCTACATAGGGGCGCCTGGATGGCTCAGTCAGTTGAGCATTCAGCTCTTGATTTCTGCTCAGGTCATGATCTCAGGGTCCTGAGATCGAACCCCAAGTTGGGCTTGGTGCTCAGTGCAGAGTATGCTTGTCCCTCTTCCTCTGCTCATCCCCCCGTGCTTGCGCTCTTTTTCTCTCTCTTTCATAGATAGATAAAATCTTAAAAAAAAAAAACCTACATAAATTTCCCTAATGGAGAATTTGGAAGCCATTTCTTAACTCTGTGCTTTGAACAGTCAACAGTATACAGCTGTGCAAGTCGTTGAGGCAGGAAGAGAAAAAGGGAATTTCTAGGTGTTTTTTCAGTTGCTTCTGTTATGCATGTAAAATGCTTTGAGATAGGGCTGTCCATTCTAAGTTTGCAGAACGGACAATAAGAACTCTGCCAACCATGAGCAATAATAATGGCATTCTATTGGCACTACCACTTTACTTATTTAGGGGGCAGCCTATATAATTGGGGATCTTTTAGATTTTCTTCAAACATAGGGAAAAACAAAACAAAACAAAATCAAGAAGTCAGAAATAAGTAGGCTCTAAAAATGAGAAAAGTGAGGGATTATGTGAGATAGAAAATAACAAAGCCTAAAATTAATTCGCCAATTTGGTGAATTTAAAATAAAATTTAAAAAATAAGGCCTCACAAAATTACTGCAAAATATATCCCACGATGACCCTTAAGAATAAAGTCAATTTCAAGATGCTTTGGCTGCCATTTCTACAGTGAATTTGAAGTTGAAAGCATTAGGAATATAAATCATAAGTGTACTGGCACAGTGTTTAAAATCTTGCATAATATAAGATGGTAAAGACAACAGTGGAAAAATGAGTATTGAAGAAATTGTTAGTGAAATCTGACGATTCCAAAATCTTTATAACATAAAGAACAGTAAAAAAACAAAACAAAACAAAACAAAACTAAAGGCATTGCTATAAAAATATGTTTAAAGCCAGAGATAGAATATATCTTTCCTACTCTAGCCACCACTAGTCTCTTATCTTTGAACACAAATATGATCTGGTGCCCAGTAGGAAGCTAAGCAGTTAACAGTCTATGAGGGGATTCTGACGGCCAAGCTCCTATTTTCATACTGGCGTCTGCCTTGTCAGGGGGCTGGGCTGTGTGAACAGCCTGCCAACAGCAGCTGATCAAGAGAGCCATCTAAGATGTTAAGTCTCAAAAACTATGTATTTACCTGAAGAAATTTTCTTAGCACTTAATTTTTATCTTTTTACCTCTTAAAGGCAAGCAAAGTTTCCCAGAGCAATTTAAAAATAAACAATAAAATTATCAGTGAAAGCCCCAATTTCAACATGTAAAGCTCTACCTTGGGCCAGTTCCTAGTGGTTTCAAAGAGAACCAAAGTATGGGCAAGGAAAGTTGGTGCCAGAAGGGATACTAGACATATTTCACGGTGGCTTTCTCTCGATTCTGCAGCCTTACATACGCTTTAACCCTGCTACTGGGTTGCTAGAGGAAAACAGAAAACTTATGATGTACAATTTCAACATGAACAAAGTATAATAAATGTAAGGCCACAAATGACTTCATATAGTCTTCTGACTTTATCGTCCTACCTTTGTCAGTCTCCTACTTAACTGCACAGGCTCATATGAGATCAGTCACCTAGTCCCAGGTCTGAATATCTGCCCCTGAGATGGGGAGGGAGGGATGCTTGGCTCCCATTACCATGATACCAAGAGCCCTCTCCACGTCCCCCGACTCTCCTCAGACTGGTAATACTCTTCTCCTCTTTGCCAGAGTGGCCAGACCAAGCTAACTACATAAGCATAGAGAACAGCAGCTTGCAGGCACATTAACACACTGCCCCTTGGTACAAATTCTTAAGAGTGCAAAATAAGAAACACGAAAGCAATGAAATGAAACGGTTCAGTCTCTGAAAGGCAACAGAAATTCTACTTAACGGAAGAGTGGTAATAAAAACCATCAGCACTCTCCCATTACTGAGTACATTACTCGGCATGGAGAGGATCCTCCTGGGGGCTCGGATATACTTAAGCTGTTCCAAGGATCGCTCAAGGGATTAAAATCATAAGGATTTCATTACCTCTTCATTGAAAGGGTCTAATTTGTTCAGGCTGAGTGTCATTTTCTCATTTCTCATAAATTAAAGGAGAAACAGAATTATTGTTTCTATCTTGGTCCTCACTTGGGATGTAGACCCTTTCTTGAGAGTAACACTAGTTGACTCCTGTGTCTAGAGGGCTGGCTTTTGATCTGAGAGGAGCAAAAACGCTCTTCACTTTGGTTTTTCATTCTATATATTGAGTGGAGGGTAAGAGAACAGAGGCTCTTTTGAACTGAACCTATTTTGCTGTGATCTAGAATTTCATAGAATGTGACAGGCTTCTCTCAAGTGCCCTTACTTTAGGGAACACTCTCAATACTGTGTAGCAGGCTGAGTGCCCCACCGCCGTGCCCGACACCCCAGTGGCTCTCAGGTCAGCATTTCCTTAGCTCTGGCACACACTTGCCAGCACCTGCCGGGGTAGCAGTGTCTTAGGAATCCAAGTTCCAGTTAGGAATGTCATTGGTTTCTTTTCTGTATACAAACAAAATAATTTGTCTTAACTGGCAACAAATTTGGGGACATCCCCAGCAACCAGGCCCATTTTCACTTTCAACACCAGTTTGTTCCATGTAGCATGGCATGTGCGGCCAAGAATGCCAGACGGGGATACAGAGGCCTGCATTTCACTCACACTTCTGTCTCTAATTCAGTAATTAGATTCTGTGGAAGTTCTTTCCTGTCTTGGGCAAATCATTTTTGTCACCCGTAAAATGGGAGGGGGGGTTGGTCAGTTCAGAGAATTTCCGATGTTCTTAGTATTTTGAAGTGAGCTGAAAGACTATTCTATGCTTGTCATTTTACTCCTAATAGGATAAGTAAAGGGAAATAAACACGTATTTAGAATTTGTGACGTTTTAGGCACTTTGCAAGATACTTGCCCTTTTATTAACTTACTCATAACTCTGCTCAAGCCATTTCACCAACCTCAAGGTGTCCCTCACAAAACCTGGGACATCTTTAAGGTCTGATTCAGTTCTTCCTTTCCATGGGCTTCCCTGTGGCTGCTTTTCATTCATAGCGCTTTCTTATTTTTCCGAACCATTATGCTAAGAAATTATATGTAAGGAAATCACTGTGTAACTATGTTAAAAAACTCCAACTAGTTCTTTTTTAATTGCAATTGTTTTGAAATTACCTAGTTTAGGAAAGACAGTAGTCAACAAAAAATAAAAACTGATAAAGTGAGGGACATTAATTGGGTCAATAACCTTGATAAGAGAGCTTTATCCTGATGTGGGCATAGCAACAGACAGATTTACAGAGCCTACTGTATACACATTTGAGAAACTACTGTTGGCTATCCATCTACTCTCTCCTTGTTTTCCTTTGATTTAACATGTGTCTAATCCTAAGACAGGGAAATCACAGAGACTGATTCCTTTTCATAAATCCTAGAAATTCATACCATGCTAAAATCATGTAAATAAAAATAAGAAGTTTCATTTAATAAATAAAAAGCCTCATTTAATAAAGAGCTTCATTTCTCAAATCAGCAGCAGCAGCTTCTGTGACTGAGTAAATCTACTAAATCTTTCCTGACTAAAACTATCAGCCTTACTGAAGACAAAATGCCACATATAATTTGGCCAGCAAAATTCATAGTGATGAAAGGAGTTGTAGACTAGAAAATGTGAGATCTAATGTTTTAGATTATTGTCCAAATTCTCTTCTGTAACCATTAAGGATAGAGAAGTTATAAAGGATGCTTAATAAGGGAAAAAAAGAATATGGAAATCTCATGATATTGGTAGGCGGGCACAGACAGATAAAAGGAGAACTAAGTAATTATACAAGTATCTGGCAATATGGAAAGCTTGCAACACTATTCGATTAGGATTTTATATATAAAGTATACATACAGTTTCTCAAGTAAAAAAAAAAAAATCATAGTATTTCACCCTAATTAGACTACAGAGATGTCATATATCTACATTTACATAGGATTTATTTGAAGAATAAAATGCTTTTATTGTGCTTCTTACTTTCTAATTCATGGATCGTAATCAATCTATTTAACTTGTGAATCTAAATGTTTTCTGTTTTCAAGGTCACCAATGCTAAATTACGTATGAGAAAACTATAGACCAAAGATAAATAAGTTATTATTTTGAAGAAATTTTTCTTTGAAGAAATTATTTCTTTAAAAAACTAAATGCACACAAGAGTACAGCAGAAAATTCTTTTTTGTAAATTTCCACTGATATTTCAGCGAATGGGTTTTGTGTAAAAAAAAGTATTTATGGAAGACCTCCCAGTGCAAGTGCATCATCCTAGGTGGTATGGGGCAGTACAAGATGGAAATTAGATCATGCTTCCTTCAAAAAGATTACAATCCAAGAGTGTGAATAATAGAAACACTTGAATAACCTCAACACCTTAGCTAGATCAGCTAAGTACGTATGGGAAATATAGAGAGCTGTGAGGGTTAAAGGAAGTTGGAGGACACAGGAAAAGCTTGAAGGAGGAAATGGAACTTGAAACAGGGCTTGATGGATGGCTAGAATTTTGTGAGGCAGATGATGGGGGAGGGGTAGTGGAAAAAATGAGTGAGAGAGAGAAGTATTTTTGTGAAAGAAGGAATATGAATGCAGGCATGAGCCAGAAACGGATGGGAACCGTGGAAGACAGTGAGCAGTAAAGGTTTTTTTGTTTGTTTGTTTGTTTTGTTTTTTTAAGGATTTTATTTATTCATTTGAGAGAGAGACACATAGAGAGAACACAAGCAGAGGGAGAGGCAGAGGGAGAGAGAGAAGCAGACTCCCCACTGAGCTGGGAGCCCAACATGGGGCTTGATCCCAGGACCCTGAGATCATGACCTGAGTGGAAGGCAGAAGTTTAACCATCTGAGCCACCCAGGCGCCTGAGCAGTAAAGGTTTTTAAGTACATAGATATACATGGGAAATGTGAGAGTTAAGGTGTTTGGAAAGGGAAGTTGGGACTTGATTACAGAAGACTCAGGGTGCCTGGGTGGCTCAGTTGGTTAAGCGACTGACTTCGGCTCAGGTCATGATCCCGGAGTCCTGGGATCGAGTCCTGCATTGGGCTCCCTGCTCAGCAGTGAGTCTGCTTCTCCCTTGGACCCTCCCCCCTCTCATGCTCTCTCTCTCTAGCTCATTCTCTCTCTCAAATAAATAAATAAAATCTTTATAAAAAAAAACACGACTCAGACTGCTGAGCTGAATGGGATTTGGTAAGCAACGAAAAGTCATTGAGCATTATAAAGCATGGAATTACCAAAAGTTTTATTTTCTTACAACCATATGTGAACCTTGGGCTACATATATATTTAAAACTCTCTCTGCCACATAGTCAAGACGCACAGGCCTAAATCCTATTGGTGATAGGCTAAACAAATGGAGGGGAAAAGGCCAGTAAACAAGTAAGTGCCAGTGAGCTAGGAACCAAGATACTGTCCCTTGTGCTCTGCTGACACTTCAGTTGAATAGTTCATTCTAACTGAATGTTGGATTCCCTAAATCACAACTTTCTGAGAGTCAGAGTGAGGTATCTGATGACGATAAACTACGACCAAATTACGGCTTTCAGCTGGTCCTTATTTCTATACCTCACTCCAAATTCCAGCCATCTTTAGCATGTCAAGGCAATCAAATTCCTGGATCACAGGAAAGGACTGGAGTTAGGGGTTGCAGTTCAAGGACAGACTCATGATTAGTGTCTGCCATTTAGTAAGAATCTTTGAGCAAAAGCAACTCACCCCATCTGAATTATGGGGTAGGAAATACTCTGTCATTCATTAAAAAAAAAAAAAAGTCCGATAGCATGACAAACAGCAACATTATTCTAAATAGATATATGATACATAGACAGCAAATTACCTCATGATCATGAGTGGCCTGTCGAGCCGCATCTAAAAATACAAAAGAATAAGAGAACGTTAATTTGAAGAACAAAACAAAACAATAACAAACCCAAGCAAATGAACTGTGCCACACTACAGTTAGTTATAGTCAGACACAAGAGAAACAGCAGATGCAGTTCCTACCTCTGAAGAGAATAGAGTGCGAGAGTGGACAGGAGATGCACGCCAAAGGCTGTTTGCACAACAGATAAGCTGTGGGTGGGGCTTCTTTGGCAATGTCTCCTGAAGAAAGGGAGCTTGAAGCAAAACTTGAAGGGTGTGATGAACAATTTTAACAGAGGACAAAAGATCCATGGAGACTGGGGTCTTGGCTATCTTGTTCACTGCTGCATCTTTAATGCCTAGGTGAAAGCCTGATGTATCTCAGGAGGTGCTCACTATGTACTGTTCGAGTACAGGAAAATGTGAATGGATGAATGAGAAGGATGGTCACTGTGGGCTGGGAGAAATGGTGCATGAAGCCTTACAGGTGTTAAAGGAAGGCAGGGATGTAGTTTAGTAGACAGACTTTAGAGGCAGAGAAATGCCTAAACTGGGAATTAGAAAAAAACACGCAGGCAACTAAAAAGGGTCTTGGAACACCAAATTGTTTGATACTGGATATGGAAACCCAACTGAAGTTTTTAAATGAGAGCAATGTGATTTTAATAAAATTCCAAGGTGCTGTTTGTAAGTGAATGTAGAATAGAGAAATGATGGAAACTTATTTTTTGTATTTATCACTCTAACAGTAGGCTTTGTGACACTCTATCATGCACAACAAACTACAAAAAAACATTTCGTTCTGGTTCTGGTACCTTGCCTATGAGATTTGCCTTTCTGACGGTCCTGGGTTTTCCTACTGAAGACCTTGTAGGCCTCAGTCTTCTGATACTGCTCCAGTTCCTTCATGTAACGCTCCTTATCTCTGTCTGCTTCATCAAGGTAGCGCTAGGAAAGAAATGTGCAATTATTTTCAAGAAAGATCTTTATTTGGGTAAACTATCAGTGAACTCCTTGAAGACAACAGTGGACAATTAGAACATGGAAAGTATATAAGGGATAAGCTTTAAGGGAGAATAAAGAAATCATATGGATAGAATAAAATATAATCTCTCAATTATAAAAGAAATAGGTGACTGTGATTCTTTAGACTATTTATTGCCTTTTCTAACTTAATGAAGACAAGTTCTATTGAGATCATTCTCATAAAATATTCACAAGAAGATATTACAGTTAGTCCTCTAATCTACACATGGATACTAGAGTCCTCAAGAGGACTGAAGACCATATAGACACACTTAGTCTTCCCAGGAGAAAGGATGGAATATTACTTTGTTTCTCTATCTCCAACCCATTCGGAGAATGATCTCATACATCATTTGGCCTTTTAAGAGCCAGAAGAGCGGAGCACTAAAGCTGGGAGACACAAAGAACATAAAAAGGAATGACCTCATCCTATGGACCTAAAATGGACTCCTATGAAAGAGCCTATATCTACATACTTTGTGTTATTAATTATTTAAACAAAGTCATTGATCTACCAGGATAATTTTGTTTAGTGCCTTGTCCTTTTCATTCATCAATTACGTTTAAGGAATAAAGTATAAAAATAGTGCCTTTAAATGGACAAAAACTAGAGGCAGATATTATGTTAAAAACCTTGTCTTGCACAAGAGCCAGATGGAGGTGACACCCCAACTGGCAAATCTGGGACAATTTAAGTACCCAAACACTGAAGTAGAGTAATAAAACTATAAACCATTGGGAAAAAAGAAATTAATATGCTCATACCAACCATAAATAAGTCACAAACAAAACATAAACAGGGGTGGGGCGGGCAGGAAGAGGGCGCTTGCTTAGGTTAGAATGCTAAGCACCAACCAGTAAATATGGAGGGAGTGTTGGAGTTGGAAAATTACCATTCTGCAGCCCTCATGTTAAAGATTAGATCAAGCAAAGGTTATTAATGGATGCTAAATCTAGGGGGAAATCTGATATGGAACAGACTATTTGCATGTTCTTAAAATGTCTCTCCACAGATTGCTTATTAATTGTAAGGGAGAATAAAAAAACTTTATCAAGTGAGCAAAATTAACATTACCAATGAGGAATAAAAGGACACTGTGTGCCTGCACATGTGATCCTCAGAGAAGGACATAACACCACCTATGCAGTATTCTAAGAATGCATAATCTCAATCTAATCACAAGGAAACATTAGAGAAGTACAAAATGAGGAATGTTCGGTTAGAAGTAAACAAAAAGGAGGTGGAGGAAGAGGGAGGGATTGCATTCTTAAAAAATATCAATGTCATAAAAGACAAAGAAAGGCTGTGGAAATAGTCCAGGTTAAAGGAATCCAGAGATCTGACTACTAACTGCTATTGTGTTAATATAAAATTGTAAAGGTGATAATGAAACTACGGTGTAAGAGAATATGACTATTTTCAGGAAACACACACTAAGATATTTAGGGGTAAAGGGCTATGAGGTATATAATTTACCCTCAAATGATTCTGGAAAAAAGTGTGTGTGTGTATGTGTGAGAGAGTGCATGAGCATGAGTGTGCATGCACGTGTGTGTCAGTGGTAGAGAGCATGAGCATACATGCATGTCTGTGTCAGTGAGTGATAGAGAGTGTGTGGGTGTGAGCATGAATACACATACACATGAAGCTTGCCCAGGGGAGTGTGGGTGCACATACAAATGGAGAAATGGGGTAAGTGTGTTAACTACAGGCGAATGTGGGTAAAGGATATTTGGGTGTTCTTTGTACTATTCTGTGTTTGTAACTCTTTGCACATTGAATTTTTTTCAAAATAAAAAGTTAGGGGCGCCTAGGTGGCTCAGTAGGTTGAGCGTCTGCCTTTGGCTCAGGTCATGATCTCGGGGTCCTGGGATCGAGCCCCGCGTCAGGCTCCCTGCTCAGCGGGGAGCCTGCTTCTCTCGCTCCCTCTGCCCCTCCCCCTGCTTGTGCACACTTGCTCTCTCTCTCTGTCGAATAAATAAATGAAATCTTTAAAATAGATAAATAAAAAAAAAGTTAAAAACAAAAACACAAAAACCCTTGCCCTACCTACCTAACAGCAGTTATCTCTGGAGAGGACTACTGTTACTTTTGCTTTTTTCTTTATGCACTTCTGTAACATCTAAAAAAATTTAGGGTGCCTGGGTGGCTCAGATGGTTAAGCATCTGCCTTTGGCTCAGGTCATGATCCCAGTGTCCTGGGATTGAGTCCCACATTGGGCTCCCTGCTCCTTGGGAGCCTGCTTCTCCCTCTGCATCTCTCTCTCTCATGAATAAATAAATAAAATCTTTTTAAAAAAAAATTTAAACAATGAACATGCACTAATTTTGGGAAATTAAGAAATTAAAAAGAAAAGAGTAACCAACTGAGTATGTACAGCTCAGGATCCCTTTATACATTAGAGCTGAAACAAGGGACAATATGCATTGCTTTCTACTTGCTTGCTACCACAAAGAGCTTCAAGTTGCAACTTAATATAATCTCCTTGAAATATTCTGAATTCAGTTAATTCCCGAGAGTATTTTTCAATTTGGTTTTAGTCTGTTTGGAATCCTTTTTAAAGAGTATGAGACATAAAAGAAATACAGCTATCTTGTAGATGCTGCAAATGCTGGGAACTTTTAACCCCAAGCCACTCCCACAATCATTACAATCGCTCCACTTTTGTGGCATTTCAACCAATTTGTGGCTATCTTGTCCTTAATTCCTCTGAACTCTCTCTAACAAATGGATTGGTTTCAGTTTGGCAATAGTGTTAGTTTCTGTCTCAGAGAAGAAAGAATTCACATAGTAATTGCTTTGTTTTTCACAGTAGGCTAAATTTGCCAGAACTCTAGTTAAAAAAATTTACAACAAAAATCTTACGTGAACAGCAGAATTTTATCAAATGACCTTTTCTCATTTAACTTAAAATCTAAAAAGAAAAAAGAAAAGTCATAAGTTTTAGATTTTATTTATTTATTTTTTGACAGAGAAAGGGGCAGTGAGAGAGGGAACACAAGCAGGGGGAGTAGGAGAGGGAGAAGCAGGCTTAACGACTTGAGCCACCCAAGTGCCCTGACTTTTCATTTAACTCGGTGGAGTAAATTATGCTGATAGATTTCTTAATTTTGTAATATTGAATCACTTTTTACAAAATTCTTATGTGAAGTCTCAGTACATAAATCAAATAAAAGCGGAGCTACTTTTGGTTAGTGGGTGTCTGGGGGTGGAGCTCCTAGCGTCCCTCCTGCTTGTACCCCTGCAGCAGACCCTGAATAGTATAAAAACCACTGTGCTAGAGGAAAGAGCTATGGTCAATCCTGCTATTCTGTTCTCCTAGGCCCTGTGACAAAACTGAAGAACCAGCCATCCATCCTCTTTGCTTTTCTGAAAGAAGCTGTCTTTGAGGTAAAATCAAAATCAAGCAAAGGTTCAGGAATAGGAACAATTACCTGTTTTTCCTCAGGAGGTAGTTTACTCCATTCATTGCCTAACATCCTTGTGATTTCTGGAAATGGGACTTCTGGTCTTTTAGCTCGAAGCTGTTCTCGACGCTCATTCATGAACCGAACATATCCTGTAAGGGGGGATTTGGGTGCGTTGCTGTCTCGAAGAGGTTTCTTCCTCTTTCTTCCTTTGGACCAACCTCCTCGCTTACTTCTTTGCTACAAGAAAAAATAAAAAACCAAATTACAAAATCTGCCCAAATAACACAACAATAAAACAAAGGAACAAAACAGGACATGAGTTGCATTTTCCTACTATTAAGGGGCTGGATATTCAAAGCTCTCCAGATCTGTCATAGGTACAAATGACGGCCATGCAGTCTTCAAGAAGGAACTCCAGATGGTTCACTTGCACACCCTTTTATGTACCACACTACAAACTGTTACATTAAGGGGCTAATCCTAACTGATGAGAATAAAGGGTACCGTGATCACATAAGCTTTGGCCTTCATATGCACTTAAGAAGTCCTGACTCCTGGGGTGCCTGGGTGGCTCAGTTGTTAAGCGTCTGCCTTCGGCTCAGGTCATGATCCCGGGGTCCTGGGATCGAGCCCTGCATCGGGCTCCCCGCTTGGCGGGAAGCCTGCTTCTCCCTCTCCCATTCCCCCTACTTGTGTTGCCTCTCTCGCTGTGTCTCTGTCAAATAAATAAATAAAATCTTAAAAAAAAAAAAATCCTGACTCGTGAGAGGAGAATATTCTAAATGAGAAATGTAAAGCAGATGCCATCACAGTAGATCAGAACAAGATGTCACAAGCACTGGGCAGACAAAGAGACAAGCTGTAGTACAGGGATTAAAAATCATTCGTGAAGGATGTTTTTCACTGATATCATTCAAAGACCGGTTCATTTCCCATAGCAGATAGCACAAAGATTTTTAAATTAATAGCTAAGTCTTAGAAAAACTTCATCAAGTATAATATATCCAAAATGAATACTTAGTTCTTTTGGCTTGCTCCTCAAGATGTTTATTTCATATGTTTTTATATGTTTTTAGTTAGAGGTCTTTATATGTTATTAGTTAAATCAAAAGATGAAATCACCTCAAAAAACTTTAAAGAAAGGTCTGAGGTACTACTGATGTTTTACCACAGCCCTCTTAATGAGATGCAAACTATATCACATTTCTGCTTCATAATTTTACAAATACACATGGCCTATCAGTTAATAGTTTTATGGATATAAAAATTCTTATTTCAGGGAAGAGAAAGATAAGCAAAATGGGACAAAAACATCTAAATATTAATTACAGGACTGTACTCCTCGAAATACATATATAATGGTGCAATAATTCACCAATGGGCAAGTGGTGTATTTGGTATCAGCTTTTTTTTGTTTTTGTCTTATAAACTTAGTAACATTAAAGCTACTAAGGATTTTAAGATGTTTAAGAAGCTTCAAGCATTCATTATAATCTTTAAGGATGCCAACATGAAAAAAGCTCTTTTAGAACAAGAAAAAAGACAAAATTAGTGGTGCTACTCTTTTATGCCTAAAAAAAATGAGTGCCTTAAAACATGGACAATGGAATCAATCATTCGTGAGGAAGGCTGAAAGTCCAAAAAGGGCATGACTGACGGGGCCCCACTTGGAACCTCATGTGAGTTAGGAAAGACGCCCTCTAGGGGAAGGTGAACGGCCTGGTAAGTGGTGAGAATCCTTTCAGTACACATAGGACTCCACACTGCAGGGCTCGGTGTGCAATGTGTGGCCTTCAACAAGGGCACGGGGACTTCTCATTAATTACTTATTTAAATCACTCATTCATTCAACAAGCATTTGTTGAGCATCTAATATGATATTAGGTGTAAATTTATTAAGTAGGGGGAAAAGATTCTACTTGTCTCTGTCACTAAAACCATTAATGCGGTTCTAGGTGAAACCATAATTATGGTTCTTTGAAGAAAATTCTGCAGAATGTACAAAGGCCAGAGGATGAACACTTCGATTAATTCCCTTGCCAACTGCTTCTTCAGAAACTTCAGAGACTGGTAACAGGAAGAGATGCTTCAGCTTACCTCATCTTCATGCCTCTGTTCAGGGCCTTCTGTTGTATTTGAGGCCTCATTCTGAAGCAACTGACCCTGGGAGAGATCCTCCACAAATTCTGGATTGTTGGTGGATGATGTGGCTCCACCACTATATGGAACCTCTGGGTGGGTTAACCTTAAGAATAACAGGCAGATGTGCAATGGTTCAGTTATCAACGGCATCAAAAATTCCTGTTTACCAAGGTTCAAGACAACTTTCCCTGCCAGCAGAAGCAGAAGCTGGCTTTAATTCCCCCCCTCATTTGGGTAAATGAAAACAATGTCTCCAGAACAGTTACAGAGCAGTAAAAAAATAGTTTCAGTGCTTGATTGAACTAGATGTCAAATAAGATAGGCTAAAAAGTATCTGCTAAATTTGAAGACCTGAAGGTTGCTGGCAATTTTAGGGACTATAGTTTTAGTGGAATTATGGGAATAAAAACCAGATTACAGTGGGCTGAGAAATGAATGAAAGCAGCTGCAGACTGGCCTGGAAATGAAAGAAATTATACTTTTCTGACCCTTTCTAGAAAATATAATAGATGATTTTAAGCAGGAGTTCCCAACGTTTTTGAGGTCATTGAGGTCCTTTGAAAAAGGCTAAGAGAATCTATGAACTCAATGCCAATCATGTTCTCTGAAAAGAGATGCCATCAGAAACCCAGTTTGGTCTTGGTAGCTGTGTTTTCCAGATATTTCAATTGTGATGTCTTCGGCAACTTGTTCTCTCACTGTCACTCTCATTTCAATGGTGCCATCAATTTTTAAGTTACTAATTCTTGTACACTCTTATTTCAGTAAAATATGGGCACTAGGTTTGGGAAAGCGTACCAATCCTATGAACCCTGACTGAAATGAACAGGAACCAGAGGGGAGTGGTCAGAGGCATCAAATGCCTTGGAGATGGCAAGTTGGATAAAGACTGAAGAGAAAAAAAAAGGTTCTTTTGTTCCTATGAATGAATTGGCACGCTCTTAGTTAAAGTCAACAACCCTTCCATTTGTGCCGTGGACCCCACAGTGTCTAGCCTACTCAAAGACAGGTTTTTAGCAATTCTGCCCTCTCTGGCATTATCAATTCTTCCCTGTCTACTGGATCAGCCTAATCAGCCTACAAATGTGGCATTTTTACTCTTATCTTAAAGCAAAATGAAACAAAAAGCACTCTCTTGATCCCATTTCATTTTTCTTCTTTCCTTTATAAAATTATTTATACAGGCAGTCCCCAATTTAAGATGGTTTGATTTATGATTTTTCAACTTTCCCACCTCACTTGGAGTGCCAGTTAAAGTGCTTACTTTGACCTATAAGATCCTACACGATCTAGTCCCTTGATACTCAAAGTATGGGCCTCACATCAGCAGCGTTGACATCGCCTGGGAACCTACTAGAGTGTAAAAGCTCTGGCCCTCACTCAGACTTTCTGACTTAAAAAGTGCTGATGTAGCCCTCTATTACCCTTCCCCTGGAATACTTTGCTCCAGCCACACTGGCCTCCTGGCTATTTCTAAAAGGTAGAAACACTCTTAACTCAGGGAGTTTTGCACTTACTCCTCCCTCTGCCTCGAATAATCTTCCCTAGAGAACTGTACTCTAGCTACCTTACTTCTTTCAGGTCTTTATTCAATCTACTTTTAAAGCCTTTTTGGGGCCAACAGTACCCCAAAGCTTTCTTATCCCTCTTCCCTGCTTTATTTGTTAATCCATAGTTCTTAACAACACAATATGTATTTTACTTATTTGCCCTGTTTATTGCCTGACATCCCCAGGAGAATTTAAGCTCTATAGGGCTGGTATTTTTGTCTGCTTTGGTCATTGCGTAGTATTCAGGGCCTAGAACAGTGTCTGGCACATAGGAGACACTCAGAAAATTTTTCTTGAATGAATTGGATTTAGCAACGAGGCAGCTTTTAGAAAAGTCTTGGAGAGCAGTTTTATCTGAATAGTAAGGTCAAAAGGCAGATATTAATGAGGAAAGAAAGAAATGTGAAGGAAGGAAGCAGAATTACAAAGTGTAGTCTATTTTTAAAGAGCACTATAGAATGTTAAAATAATTCATCATAGAGATTAGCTAGCACTTCAATCTATTAGTGAATATATTTTTTCCATGGCAAATAACTTCTAAATAGAAAAGATAAGAATTCAAGTGGAACAGAGATTTTCAAGGGAAGAGGGACTACTGCTATTAGTCCTTTTTTATATTCCTTTACATATTTGTCCGAAAATACCAAAGAAAGGAGATGGGGGAAAAAAAGGAACAGAAGTCAGTTAGAGCTTGCAGGCATCTTGAATAAAAGAGCCTTATTAAAAAATCTGATCTGGGGGCACCTGGTGGCTCAGTCGTTGAGCGTCTGCCTTCAGCTCAGGTCATGATCTCAGGGTCCTGGGATGAGCCCCACATCGGGCTCCCTGCTCCGTGGGAAGCCTGCTTCTCCCTCTCCCACTCCCCCTGCTTGTGTTCCCTCTCTCGCTGTCTCTCTGTCAAATAAATAAATAAAATCTTAAAAAAAAAAAAATCTGATCTAAAAAACCAATCTGACCTTTGGGGGAAAAATTATTTCAATATCTGTGGCAATTCAAACAGAAAATGAACTTGATTTTCAGAGCTGGCCCTGTGGTAGGTATTTACTTAATGGTGACCATGTAATTCTCTTAATTGTCAGGAACCGATGATGTTTCCTAGGTCCACATACTGCTGTTCCAGTTCACAGGAACCAGAGCACGGCAGATGACAGCTGAATGCAGATTACAAAGCCACTTACAGTGGCTCTCACTCTCTTTGCAAAGCATAACAAACATACCTTCTATTTTTATGCTATAAAATGGTCTCTTTAGGACCTCACACATTCTGTTTTGAAGCCTAGGCAGAGAGGCGCAGTGTCCCAGAGCAGCTGCTTACCCAGTTGTAGCCAGATCATTAGTCTCCTTGGAGCCATCTTCATCTGCAAAAAGGGGTGGCAGGGTGGAGCTAGTCATCAAGGTTTCCATCTCTCTAAAAGGAAGAGAGGATAAGAAAGTAATGATAATGCTTTAATTACTTCCAGTTGAAGTTCCAGTAATTTAAGAGCCAGCCTTCCTTAAACTTACCACATCAGCAGCAGAACAGAAACTGACCTAAATATTTATTTTCTTGACTTGGACATGTCAATTTAAACTCTGGTTAATGGGTTCTTGACTTTGGTCTTACCGACCGACCAGACTAAAAACAGTTAGATTTTAATAAATGGGACACAGTTTGGAAATTCCTTTTTGTTCAATCAGAATATCTTCAAAAGCATTCTTCATTTTCTGTAAAAATTGTTAGGCAGAGTAACTCAGAAGCACTGTGACCCTGAACAAGTTATTCAATGTCTTTGAGATATAGTTTTACCAGCTTAGACACAGACAAAATTGCTGACTTGACCCACAGGGTTATTGTGAGGATTAAGCTGAAAGAGCTTCATAAACAGAGAAAGGCTAAGATCCTAAGTGCTTTGAGTATTATTATATAAAGCAAGGTATTGTTATTACAGCATTACCAGGTCTCAGTCCCAGATGAATCATCCTTAGATTAAATGGTAACAAACTGAGCCCACCAAAAGGAAATAATGCAGAGGAAGTGGAGGCTGGGAGGCAGACTGATGTGGTGCAGAGTTAAGCAACCACACTTCCAGGTCAGAAATATGCTCTGCATCCCCATGATGACCAACGGAAATAGCATGCACCTGGGTACAGGAAACTACTGAGCTCAACTGAAGGAAACCAAATAAATCACAAGAACTTGAGGTTATCAGATTGAAAGGCTAAAAGGACAGAGTGACAGAGAGTAATTTCATTTAGCATATCACTACAACGAAAGATTTTCCCTTTCAAGGCTTACCACTGAGGGCGTCACCCTATACAGCTAAAAGCTGCAGCCTCCCCTTCATCGTGAAAGTGATACTCACACAGAACGTTCAGTAGTGACCCCAAACTGTAGCCACTTAGGTGGAACAGCACACCAACCAAGACAGAGTGCCTCAATCAAACAGGGAGAACTGAGAAGCACATTATGAGAATTCACTTAGGAGCTCCCTCAGCAGTTATTTCAGGGGCTGCTGCTAAGGGGACCGAGTGAAACCGCAATTAAGGGGAAGGCACAGCAGGCCAGGAGGAGCTAGGAGTCATCCCACGGAGGAGGAGACACCAAGAAGAGACGGATAACGCCGACACCAAATTCTAAATGCTCAGCAGAGTCCTATACTTCCGAAATGGTAACACTGACGGTTACCTTTTTCTTATTCTTACTTATTTTGTTTTTCCTTCTACATTTGTTAGTTAGCAGACCAAGGTTCCTACACAGCTTAATGTGGAAAAACGCATCTGTATGTCTCTTACCCATTGTGGTGGGTGGAGCATGGAAAGCAGAGAGGAACTTTAGACTCAATCAGGAGTTTATTCCACATGCAGGGATGCTTGCTAACCCTTCCCAATTCCTTCAAACAGGGGGGTTTACGAGGGGCTCTAACAAATACCACAAAATTCCATTCTAGATGTTTTCTAGAATAATCCTGATCTAAGTGTACTACATTTTAATTTTTTTTTTAAAGATTTTTTTTTATTTATTCATTTGAGACACAGAGATACAGAGAGAGAGAGAGCATGAGCAGGGGGAGAGGCAGAGGGAGAGGGAGAAGCAGGCTCCCTGCTGAGCCAGGAGCCCGATGCGGGGCTCGATCCCAGGACCCTGGGATCATGACCTGAGCCGAAGGCAGACGCTTAACCATCTGAGCCACCCAGGTGTCCCCGTTTTAATTTAATTTTAATTCATATTATGCACAGACCAGATTAGAGCCTGGGCTTTAAGAGCTGCTAACATCACCTTATCCTGATATTCATCTGATCAAAAAAACCATTAATCAATTAGATGCCATACCGCCTACCTGTAAACCACGAGCACACATTCAAATAGCCAGATAATTACCCCAAAACTTTATAAGGAAGGACTCAGTTAGCTGGCTTCTTTCTAAACGTCTGCCTATATGCAAATGGCCTTTCAAGAACTTTGAGATTCAGCATCTGAAGCTCCTGGCATCCCTCAAAACTCAAAGGCAATATATCATCTGGCAGGGGGTGAATGAAGTGTCTTGTCATTCACTATGCCAACATGACTCTCTTAGGGTGCTGCCCAGTTATCTCCCTTCAGTCATTGCTGAGATATTGGGAGGTAGCTGGACAACACAACCTTAGTAACGTATAAACAGATCACATAAACAAAGGAAGTTGAAAGAACACAAATTTCTTGCTTTTTTTTCTTTTCTTAAGTTGGTTTTACTCAACCCATATGGCTTCAGATATATTTTCTCTAGTGTTACAGAGTAGTCAAGTCCCTAAGAAATGAGTAATAAAGTGGGTGGAAGGTTAAGGGGCCAAGATCAACAAAAGAAGGAAATGAGGAAAAAGTCCAGTGAAACCCAAAGGCTTCTAAACTAGTCCAATAAGTTGGAAAAGAAAATGATTCCCAAGAACATGACTGGGATCCTGCAAGAATCTGCTTTCATATGGTCCGTGAGGGGGTGATTCAAACTGAATCACGGCTACCAAGCCAATGACTGCCAAAAAGCCTTCCAGTGTAGCATCTGTGTCTGATAATGTCCCAGTACAGAGGTCACACTGAACTTTGAAATTCTATGTGAAGCACTTAAGAAATGTAATGAATGCTGTTCTGGAAGGGGAAAGAAGAGAAATATGCACAAAGACAAAGCAATATACAAATCTGGTTCTCCACTGCAGTTACATAAGTAAGCATATCAGGCAGACGTTTCCTTACAGAAGGGACCTCCCAGTGAAGGCTTCTACCTGGAGGCCTCAAAAAATGGTATTACCTTGGGGCTTACACTTTGAATGAGGGTCTAGACTGTAGCTGTGAAAATCCAAAAATACCCTCCAACACTAGCCACTACTGAAAAAAAAAATGATGTATAAAACATGGTGCCAATTTAAGATATTTTAATGACAGTTATATTAAGCACATTAGATATTTATTGGCCAATCAACACATTTTCTCCCTGTAATAAATATGGGGAGCCAAAGCATATTCAGAACACTGCTTTGGTCAATACAGGTGGAGTTTAAGAAATGTTCCTCAACTAAGATTTTCCTAGTAACCCTTCCCAACAAAAGGGATGATCTCAACAATGAGACTACATTATTCCACATGTGTTGGACAGTGCTGGAAGCCTAATTTGTACTTAGGTTTTCTGGGGTTGGCTCTTTTCAAGTGCCCTTTCCTTCCTTTCATATGTTAATCCCACTTCATTAAGTTCTTTCATGGAGAGGCACCATATTCCTTCTCCATTACACACCTCAGAGTTGAAAGAAGGGATTCTGCCCTCATTTTCCACACTAAAAGCCTAACGTTAAACTCCCAGTTCTTTTAAAAATCGTGTCGTTTGTCCAACCAATCTCAAGTTCAAGTATTTCTGACCACTATTCCCTATCATTTTGGCTCTCTCAATTACTTCTACTACAACTGACCTCTAACCACACAAACTTCTATTCACCGACCTTTGATTTTCCCTTCTCTGTCCAGCTTAGATTCCACGGCCACATTTCAAATATTCTTTTGTCAACACTCTCAAATCTTTTGCCTTGCTACTCCTTCTACACCTCAGATAAAGATCAATTCTGAGTTTTAGCTCAAGATGGTGTTGGAGAAAAATCACAAAACAAAGGGTGCTCCTATAAATTTATCCAACCACAACTAGGCCCTCAATGTTCTCAGCAATCATTCTACATTTTTTTAGGATCTTCCCCAACTGCCATATCAGTTCTGTCAAACTTTTCCAACCAATTCAAACCTAAGTCACCCAAACCCTCCCACCACTCACCCTCCTCTCTTCACATTCCCTATCCCTACTCACATCAAAGGCCACCCTAAGTTGCTTTATTTTTTTAAACATATAATTCACATACCATAAAACTCACCCTTTAAGTATACAATTCAGTGGCTTTTATATATTTACAAGGCTATACCATACAACCAACACCACAACTGATTTTAGAACATTTTCATCATCCCACAAAGAAACTTGGTACCCATTAGCAGTTACTCCTCATTCTCCCCTTCTCCAGGGCCTGGGTAACCACTAATCTCCTTTCCGTCTTTATGGCTATACCTCTTCTGATCATCTCATATAAATGGAATCATACACTATGTGGCCCTTTGTGTCTGGCTTCTTTCGTTTGGCATAAAGTTCTTCCAGCTTCATCACACTATATGCATCAGCATTTCGTTCCCTTTTTTTTTTTTTTAAGATTTTATTTATTTATTTGACAGAGAGAGACACCGTGAGAGAGGGAACACAAGCAGGGGAAGTGGGAGAGGGAGAAGCAGGCTTCCCGCCCAGCAGGGAGCCCGATGCGGGGCTTGATCCCAGGACCCTGGGATCGTGACCTGAGCTGAAGGCAGATGCTTAATGACTGAGCCACCCAGGCGCCCCTCGTTCCTTTTTATGGCTAAATAATATTCCATTGTAGGGCTACATCACATTTTGCTTATCCATTTATCAGCTGATAGACCTAGGTTGGTTCCACTTTTTGGTCACTGTGAATAATGCTGTTTATGAACATTTGTGAACAAGTTTTCTTGTGGACATGTTTTCAATTCTCCTGGGCATATACCTAGGAATGGAATTGCTGTGTCATATGGTAACTCCATATTTAACATTTTGAGGAGCTGCCAAAGTATCTTCCAAAGCATCTGCACCATTTTACATTCCTCCTAACATTTTGAGAGGAGTAACTCTCCTAATATATGAGAGTTCCAAATTCTCCATATCCTTACTACACTTTTTAGGAATGCTAGAGAAATATCAATTCTAGCCCTTGTAGCTTTCCACATGGACTAAGGGAAACATATAACTCCAGCTCTCTCCAAACATCCTGTCTCACCTAAAGGGAGAAAAAACCTGAGAAGCACTGGAGGTTATAGTCCAGGGGCACAGGCTCACCAAAAGACTGAGACCTAATTAT